GGGGGGGGGGCAGAATAATACTTAGTCTTGATCCCACTAATTGTCTTTTGCTAGTATTTTCGATAGCTTCAGTTGGTATGGCTCATGGTTTTTTTTTGGGGGGGGTTAAGTTTTGAGGGAGGAAAAAGGCTTGCTTCATGTTTTGAAAAAAAAATGTGTGATTACTTTGAAGTGTAACAATTGCACTCTGTATACAGACAAGTATGCATGGTACAAATGTGAGGTGTGCTGACAAAATGAGTTTTTTCTTGCAATCTACAAATGGAGATATTGTCCAACAATCAAAACTAGTGTCAAATTTATAGATTTTCTATTCTTATTTCATAGTTATAAACTCTTCACCTTCACTTTCAAGCGTGTTGTGTCTATTTAAATTGGGCTCGAATCCGAGCGAGAAGTAACTCATTTTGTCAACACGCTTCACAAATGGAGATTGCTTTAAGTCAAAGAACCAGCTCTAATTCGTAGAATTTGTCGTTTCAGCCATGGCATAGGCACCATCTGGATTGGCACAAGTTCTGGCCTCACACGGCACATCATGCTCAACGACATCACAATGTGAGTGCAGAACATCTTGGGGTTTTTTGTGAGGGGGTTTTCTTTTCTTTCTTTTTTTTGGGGGGGGACCCATGCCCAATTCTATCGTCCGGTGCTTTTGTGTCTAGTAATAACAACAAACTGTGCAGCGTTTTGGGTTCTTAAATTAGCAGATAGTCTTAGAGTAAACATACAGGAAAATGTTTTATATATTAATAAATACATGAATAAATAAGTAAATACATGCAAATATTATGTTTCTTCACTTTTATAACGTTTTTTGGTAAGTTCACATCTAAGTGTTGCCATAGCCCCAACTGGAGATGGTTGCATCAACTGGTTAGTAGTTAATTGTTAAGATCATGTTAGTCCTACATTCCTCGGCTCTTTCGAGTCACGAGATGGGCACCCTCTGTCCCGCTCCCTGGTGGAGTTATCTTTACAGTGCCAAGCCCAGAGCGTCTTGTTTCTGTGTTTCTATAGAAAATGATGACATGGTATAGGTTAAACGCCCCTATCAACACTATTAGTAGGGTTTTTATAAGAGGCGTGACCTCCGAGTTGAACGTCCACGTACGAAAGGACCGAGCCAATTAGAGAAATTCGTGTTAAGATTCTTTCCCAATGCTCCTCCTCACTCCAAGACTCAATAGCATGGCTTCTTTGGTGTTCCCTTCCTTTATCTATAACTACCTTAGTGGGTGGTTGTTGGGTGCTCTGGTGTGGTTTGCTTCTTCTTTCCTATCAAACATCTATCGTCCTGATCTCTCCTCCTTCTTTTTTTGTGCATGTTACTCTCTTGTACCACCTCTAATCTTCGGCCGGCACTCATTATGACCTTATTGTGTTGCAAGTGCCGTAACACTTTTACTAATACTAAACTAAACTAAAATAGTCAAGAAGGAGCGAACCACACTATAGTCCGATAGAGCGCCCGCCAACCACTTATAGGGAGGTCAAAGATTCGTAGAGCAATTTATTGTCAAATATCTCCTCAACTAACGAACACAGGTTCTCCAATTTTTGCACAGTGACTTGTATCAATTTGTCTTAACAGATCAGCATTTTTGTAAACACCTGCAAGGTGTGTTCTAGAAAATTCCTTAATAAATACAAATAGAGAATCCAGGTTGGTGCTTTCTACAGATTTGTAAATATTTATAGCTGGGGCAATATTGCGCTTTACAGCAAGTCCATCATGTTTTTCTAATCGGGACATTATGCTTATTGAACGCATGTTTTGAGAACCATTAGTGCAAAAATTGTGTCCACTATAAAAATATATTTCGTAACAAGTTTTGCAAGTAAAAAGTGTCCTTGATGAGCTGCGACGTAGGCCATAGGCGTAATCAAAATGTGTGTGAGAAGCGGGAAGTGCAGCGAACAATACCATTTTAGGCGTGACAGAGATTTCAAGTATTTTATATAAATTTATGAAGAAAAATCTTTTTAATCTAGCCCCAATTGTTCTGAAGAAATATGATTTAGTTAGACAAATTGATACGAACTGCTGTGCAACTTATGAATTACATTGATTCGCCTGTTAAAGAGATATTTGAGGAGAAGTTGTGCCACGAATTTTGACAGCACTATACGTGTTTCTCTTTACTCTATACGTTCTAATACTCAGCGTCTGTCTTTTCTCCAACCCACTTTAGGAACTGGATGGACTTTAATCTGGAGACCATCAAGAGCACGTACTACAAGCGGGCTGTGGACGGGCATGAAGACGGATACAAGTACGTCTTCACTGGGCCAGTCATCACGTCACAGAGTGAGTACTTAACCCTTCCAGCCCCAGCCATTGTTGTGCACTCCCTAACTCCAGTCCAAGCAAATACAGCGGTGTTTCAGAAAAAGAGGCTCACATTCTAAAATGTGATGTAGTATCTTTGTAATGAGGTTTAGATAATAGCATATAACAATGTTTAAATTAAAGGTAAATGAACATATACTATTATGAACATTAAAGTTTAAATTAGGTTCGCTAACTTCGAAAAATGCGCAAATTTGATACCCCCGGAAATTGAGAATATTACGCTCTTGGGATGGTGGGAGGTACAAGCGCTGCTGAAAATATGCGCGTATGGGGCTGAAAGGGTTAATAATACATTAATAATGATAGATAGCATAATTTTGTATAGCGCAAATCCCCTCACAACAGAAAGCTCTATGCGCTTCACAGTCTATACTATTACCCCAGCAGTAGAGGTGGGCAAAATCCGGATAATCTATAAGGATAACCGGATAATTCTCAATGAAATATCTTCTGAGTTCAGACTGTCTTGGCGAAGTGGGTGCACCCATTTGTTGAAGTGATTCTAACCCATTTGCCGAAGCGGTTCAGAGCATACTATTTGCCGAATGTGTGCACTAACATATTATCCGGATTTTGTTAAAGAGACTCATTACCCAACCCTACCCAGCAGACCTGAGAACATTCTGAAACAAACTCAACTTCCTGGGAAGCAAAGAGACGACAAGATACGAGTACTCTTCTCTTTGGATGGTTGGCTGCTGTAATTTCTGTTGTTGTTGCCGTTATTATCGAAAATTTGCTAGTGGGTACAGATTGTGAATTGTCATTTCTCTGCTCAGTTCTCTCTATTATTCTCTCTCTCTCTCTCTCTCTCTCTCTCTCTCTCTCTCTCTCTCTCTCTCT